GGGCTGGGCGCGCTGCTGCTCCACCACCGCCCCGGTGCGCCCGGGGCTGCCCCCCCCTGCCCGCCCCGGGACTCGACTGCGCGTCCCAGGGGCCGCTGAGCGCCGCCCGGGGGGAGGTCAATAGTGGGGCTTCAGTGCAATGAGCGTCAAAGGGCGGAGCCGATGCATACAGCGGTCCCGGGGGTCTTCAGATGTAGAATCGTGTGTTTGCTTCCTGCTGGGAAGTCTGCGCACCCTATTCCCTAATCCATGCACGCGGGCACGTTGGCGTTGTCACGGGCACGTTAGGGGTTGTGTCGGGCACGTTGGCATTGTAGAAACCGCCTGGAGTAGGTTCAAGCAGAGCTGGCAACGCTCCCATGGGATGCGCTGCCCTTGGTGCCGCCGACTCAGTTTTTACTTTGAGACCCGGGGCAGGGGATGCTTTCATCAGCCCTTAGAGGCTTTGGTTTCGGTTCACCGACGCAGGGCTGTGGTGCCAGGATCCAAGAGCCGTAAGTAAGTCTGTCTGGGCCTGCAGGGTATTCTTCATGGGCATGCGAGGTTCAGGATCCTGAAGAAACATCTTTACATGGCTCTTCATGCTGAAGTTTCACTTTCTTTTCCTCACTTTATGACTTTGCATGCAAGCACCCAGGCAGGTTCAATGCTGGAAGTGTAGCGCTGGCATAGCTTGTAACAACCAACATGTCTCCTGTTGCAAAGGGAACTTGAGTAACACCTTCCGGAGGAGAGAGGTGAAGTCCATGTGCAGGTTTTGCCACTGACTTAAGGAAGGCCAGGATTTCACTCCCACCTCAAAGTGATTAACAAAATAAGGTCAGACACTATAATCAATCAAATGTGCCAGAGAGCAAGCAGCAGTTACTCAGGCACCTTCTGTTGTACTTGTAATATGGACCATAATCTGACAATAGATTTGGGCCAGTTATGTGTTTCTAGCACAGGTCGGCAACCTCCAGCACCTGTTTGCTTGGCATGCGTGCCTTGAGGCAGACAGCAGGAAAGGGGCTGGGGCTGCACTGCCACAAGGATCAGGCCCCTCATGGCTCCCCCATCACCAGTCCATAGCACACCAACATCTTTCTTTCAAGTTGAAGTTGCAGGCATTTTTGATGCTTGGCCCAAAAACGTTGCCAACCCAATTCTAGCACATTTTGCAGGTCAGCATAGGAACCTCTTATTTATTCACTATCGTTTTAAATAAATACTGGTAAAATTACCCCCTTCCTACACGACATGCCCGAATAGCCAACTGTTTACTATATATCCACATAAAAGGAGACTGCCTTCAACGACTCAGCTGCTCCTCAATAGCTTGTTAGCACTGAATCCAGTGAGACATCAACATTGTGGTCTAGAGCTACACACGACAGTATTTTGGCCATAACTGGGGACTGCAGTTCCTATCAGAAGTATCACGTAGATTAGGAGGAATATTTTGTGTTTATGAAATTGAAGACTGAAATAGTAATTTAGATGCATTAGATTTGATTGTCGTGTCACCAGCCTTATACTAAAACAAATCCAGTCGTCTTTGGTAACTGGAGTTACTTTTGTGGTACTGTAAAGGCAAAGCTGGAATCCAATCAATCACAGACCATAGTCAAATGCTGCCATATTTAGCAGTAGTTTAGAAATGTATAAAACTAAAACGTGTCATCTCCTTTATTCTCTTACAGAAAGACCAAGAGAGTTTTTGATCCAAGCACTGGAAAGAATAAAGCTTGCAAAACGAACTGGTGTGGATTATCCCTATCTTATGGACGAATCAAATTTAGAAGCTATGTTTGAGATGTTAGACACTGCAAGTCAAGGCTATATAACACTGGTGCAGTACAAAGAAGGTTAGCCCTTCTTGACTTATCTTTTACTTAAGAAAAAGCAGTATTTTTATTTACAAATTAGAACTTTAATAAAGTGCATTTGATGGTTTTACATGCAAGACTGTCGCTGAAAAGCAGCTGAAATTGTTTCACTCAAAGAAAATTCTGACCTCTATAGACTCTAGCTTTGACAAAAAGTAACTTATTGCAAAAAAAATCCCTAAAGGTTTTTAAGCAAGTAAAAATGTAACATCTTTTGACATGACACCTAACATTGAGCCCAAAAGGTCGAACAGTTCAGCACTGTTTTCCCAACTTAGTTACAAAAGTCTAAGGCTATTGCAGATGTAAAATTAAAACTCATTCTTTAAAATCTTTGTAGCTCTTAAAACCTTGGGGCTAAGTGCTCAAGATGTGTCTTATGAAGATGGCACAAATATCACACTGGAAGTATTCAAGGAAGAAGTGTAAGTGATCGTTTTTGTCATTTGGGGTTTTTTGTGGAGGAAAGAGAAACCTGTGGTTGATCTAAAGTTCACCTTTTTTCAAATGCATACTTTAACTCCATAATGGTATTTGTGCATTTAAAACTATATTCTAAAAAGGTACTCCATCTTTGCTGTTACTTCTGGCAGTGGTCAGATTTCCTAGGATAGGTCAGCTGTTTTGCTTCTTTTCTGTTCCTAGTATAGTGTGTGCTTTCTTCTGTCATCTATAAGTAAGGGCATAGGCATGTGAACACATTACCATGAAGTCAGTAAGAGCAGGGACTTGCAGAATAGACTTTGCTCCATGGTAAATACCGATGGGGCAAGCTCTTACCCTATAGTAAAATGACAAGTAACCTGAGGTGGATCATCCATTAATCACAAGGCAAGAGTTTATGTAGAATATCAAATTTGTTTTTCTTTTGTTTCAGGAAGAAAAAGATGCTGGCGAGCTGGGTAGTATATTAGTATCAACAGCTATCAGAAATATTTCCCTAAAGTCTCATTCTTATGTTTTATGGCCTTTACGACATAGATAATTTCTCTCATCCAAAATACATTCTTGGGCTAATAGAGTAGCATCAGTACAGTACACAAGAGGGTTTTTGGGCCAGCTTTAACAGTGGAGTCACTAAGACAAATTTATCCATCCTCACCGTACAGCTGAAAGCCAGCTTTTGAAGGCTCCTTTAGTTTGAGCGATATTGTCAAAATAGGTAGTGTATAAAAACATTTTTCCCAATAAAGCTGTTGTTCTGAAGCCTCAATGATAACCAACTCCTCTTTGACAAAGTACTGCCAAGTTACAATTACTGGCTCACCATATATAATCCTGCTCCTATACAGAAATTTTTGCAGCATGCAACAGCAGCAGTTATATAGCAACAAATAATATTCAGTTTTTAAAATGTCAAATTTCTTTCAAACCTCTTGTGTAGAAACAAAAGCTGGTTTAACATAAGGAAGATGCCCCCATTTGAACTTAAGCAATTTCAAATAAAAAAATTATTAACAATTACAACCGTCTTGAGGCTTTTTCTTAAACAAGTGGCAAGTCACAAAACACACAGTTATAAACAAGCCTGTAGAGGCCTTGGACACGTATGGAAGCAGGTGGCCAAAAATGCCCAATGACAAGGCTTAATCTGAAATCATCAGAAAGCAAACGCATGACTCCACCTTATTCATAAGTCTCTGCATGCACATATGGGTATGCAAGATCTATGTATGCAATTCCCAACCCGTAACTTTCCATGCATCAAAAACCAAATCATGAATTCATGTGCAATATGTCTATCCCTGTACACAGTAACATATGTCCTGTCTACTCCATATTCTTTGCTAAGCCATGAAAACATCTATATGACCAGAGAGCAATTATCTACTATAGAGACCTCTAGGTTAACGAGAAATATATTCTCATCCCCATCATGTAGATGCCTCTACGCCAGGGCAGCTATACATGGAGAACAGAGTCAAGTCAGTTTTAGTTTCTTTGAACTGTACTTACTGAACTAGAAATTAACTCAGTCGGTTTTTAAATATTGCATATATACTTTTTTCCCAAATTTTGCCAAATTAAGGCATAAAACTAGATCAAGCCAATGTGCTGCAAGTGTAGAGTAGCAATTCTTTAAGAGTAATGCAAAAACAATATTAACATAATACAGTTTGGTTTAATTTTTATTTCAATAAATAATCTGGACTAAACATTTTAATAATCATTTTATGAGACATTTACTTATTTTCCTGTATTTGGCCAGTTTGTTTTCAAATTAAGCAGTATCTCAACATCCTGCTGTGCTAATTTATAAACTCCAAGTTCATTTAAAGCTGCTGTGGCAGATGGCTGGTTTGGATTTAAGATGGTTCCATTTTCTGAGGCTGACTCTAGTACATCCTTCAAAAGCAGGGCAGAGCCAATATTTAGATTCAAGATAATGCAGGCTTCTTTTATGCTATGGGAGGGAAAAAAATACAAGTTTTACATAATGATACAAGAAATGTTTATTTAATGTGGGATCACAGAACAAGCTACTTCACTAGTGTGAGTGGGATCATCAAGTAATGACATCCTCTTTTGACAGCAAGAAAGAAGGAATCTTGAAGAGGAAAGATATCACAACTTATGTCAAGGCAAATAATAGTGGTCATTCACCCTGCCCGTTACTGGTACATTGTGGACCAGATCCCATTCAGTCTGCTACACATTCAAACCTATTCAGCTGCTCATTCAAAAAAAATATGCATCTTGTCTCAGCAAAGAAAAGTGATCCTTCTCTATCTAGAGAAGCACATTTCTTGCATTCTCTCATAGGGCAGCTTTGTACAGTGTCTAGAGCCTGTAAACACTGAACGTGAACTATCCTACAGGCTACTAACAAGAAATGAATGGCATAGAATATGTTTGCCTCCCATCTCCTAAGTAACTGATTCAGAGCCATATGTTGAAATATTAATGCTTTATAAACTTGCATACTTACTGTTTGAAATAGTTTTCTGGTCTCTTGCAATAGTGTGAAAATAAAGGGAACAGATTCCTACTCATATCAAACTGGAGTTGTGCTGCTCCTCCTTCATTGAAGTGATTTGCCAAAATTATCTACATTAGTAGATGAGAAAATATATCTATTAACTTAACAGTGCAAGTCACTTTCACCTTCACCATACAGCACAGATTACATCTCTGCAGAGACTTACTTCCTGATAGATGAACACATCCACTTTCTCCACAAGCATTTGCCAGAAGATTTTAAACAGTGAGTGACACAGCTGCTGTTCTAGCTGCAGCAAGCGGTCTCTTAATGTCAACAACATTGGGCAAGCTGTGCTGGATAAGGACATTACTGCCTGCTCCGCCTGGGATGGCAAAGATAACCACCTGCACAAAACAGGTGTACAATGAAAACTGTGTTATCATAAAGTTATTCCTGGGGAAGCAACCAAAATGAATGAAGCCTGTCTTTTATAAAAGCCAACTGCACACAGATTTATCCAATGTGCTCAAATCCAACACAAGGTTTTTTACCCTATTCAACATGGGAGGGGGAAGGGGGAAAGAAACCTCATCTTGGATTCAAGTATTATCCTGGGTCAGGCAGCTTGAGCTCTAGACCTGAAACCAGGGCCAGAGCTGTCACTGCTTCTACTGCCTGGCTGCTGGCTCAAAGTAGGAGGCACACAGTGGGAGGAGAGTACAGGGAGACCACAAGTGGTGGAGTGGGGAGCCCGGGGGAGATTACAGAGCAGCAGAGGAGCTGCTATGCATCTGGCCCAGCCTGAAGCTCAGCTGGGGCTGCCATCACTGCCTGCCCCAGACTGGTGCCACCATGTGCATAGGGTAAGCAGCAACAGTGTGTGTGTGGGGGGGGAGGAAGGCACCAGGGGGCAAATGACAAGAGTTGGGCTATCTGTCTTGCTGCCACTTCTTTCCATACCACAGCAGTGAGGGCATAAATCTAAGATGACCCTGCAATAATGAGATCCTATACAATGGAAATATATAACAAATGCATAGGTGTCCATGTACCAAATCTAATTACTTGGGGGGCGGGGGGGAATCTTGTATTCAAGGTAATTTTGGATTTAAGCAAATACAATAATTTCTTATGCTTTTGCCTTCTCCTGCCAAAGTATTGTTCAGCACTATGGACAAATACTCCTCAAATTCATTCTAGTAGTATCAAGAACTCAAAGGCCATTCAGAAGGAGAAAGAGCAAAAAAGTTTAGCATCATAAAAAAGAACATTAAAAAAAAAAAAAAAAACAACTAGCAAATTTTACCCCAGAGCAAGCACCCATAGTCACATTCAGGCCTTCACAAAACAGGCAGCCTGCAGACCCCTTTTGATATTTGCTGCTTAATATTCCAAAGGGAAATAGTGCCAAAACAGGAGTCAGGCAGGGGTTTCCAATAAAGAGACTGCCCTAATTCTTGCAAGGCTGTACTTTAGAAACTGCTTTGATGGAACAGGGAAAAAATAATTTTTCAAGGTCTACTACACTGATCTCAGCTTATTCAGAAAGCCACATCTTAGCTGCTATTTGCCCCCCAAACTAATGTTAACTCAAAATTGTGTACTAGAAATAATGATCATCAATATTCCAAATAAAAACGAAGAATCACCTTTCTTTTCTGTACAGCTTTGCTGCATCTTTGACCTCCCTGAAGACATGATCTACTTGACGGGTCAACATGTCATGCTTTAAGCGTTCTAGGAGGTTAATCATATCATCAAAGACAGAGCTCTCCATAGAAGCCAGCTGCCCTAGCTGTAGCTTACTGAGTGCATTACTATCTGCACACACCTCCAGAGCTGCTTGTTGAAGCTGCAAGAAAAACTACAAAAACAAAGCAAGCAAGATTTAAATACCTCTAAGCAGATGACACCCTTTTTCTGATACTTTAATACATGTAGGTCCAGTGATAACACAGCTCCTTAAGACAGCATCATAGCACAGGTGGAGAAGGGGACACATCAGGCCCATCTGCATGCAGATGATACCACCATCACAGGTTGGATCTCGCTTGCAGGCTGTACGTTGCACACCCCTTGTCTACATAGCTAATATTCTGCATGCTAAGCTGTGAATGTTACAATTTCTAATGACTCGTTAAGCATTTACGTCAAGGGAGACTACTACTGAAACTGCATACAGGCTTCCCTCGCTTTATGCTGTACATGTGTTCCTGGAAAATGGTGCATAACTTGAACTTGCATGAAGGGAACCCACTTTACAATACAACAAATAGGGATATGTTCCAAGACTTCAACTCTACTGAATCCCAAACCCACTTCTACCGCTTTTACAAGACAATTGTGGTACTCACCAACAGCAGACAGTACACAAGCACAGGGCGCTATTATAATGGGGACGGCAACTACAGAAACACATCACAGACAACGAGCGAGGAGCACAGATCCACACAGGAGACTGTTTTGGTGCACATCACTCCCACAAAGCACCGCCTAATGCAGCTGACTGCGGGCTTCCACCACACTGATCACATAAGAGTGAATTTACCTCATATATAACAAATTTTGAGTATAAAAAGCACCATTGCATAAAAGTGAATTCACACATACAGAACCCACATGAAGCGAGGGAAACCTAGATTGAAATATACAGAAACCGGCCCCAATTCTGCCTCAGGACTTACTAGTGCAAACCCATATGCCCGTACAGTCTATGTGATATACGTGGAGCTCTGCACAGTCTGCACTGGCTCATTAAACCATGAAGACAGATTAACCCATAAATGTACCAGCTTTGCTATAACCTGGAAGTGTATGATGCTATACTTCAGAGAATTAGTTTGGGAGTGTTGCTTCCTGGCCTGACTTGCAAAGAAAACTGATTCAATTTTAGCAGGATCCACATCTGTAGCAATGGTGAGGTTTTATTCTGGTTTTTTTCAATCTAAGTATCCTTAGCAGATCTATTTCTGTAAGAGTTTGTAGGATAGAATCCAGATAACAAAACAGTCACATTACACAACTAATTTTCTGAAGAACCCTCAGCTTTAGGCTTTCCAATATATTGTGGTAAACTGTGGCATTTAAGCACTGCTTAGACTCTGGCAAGGAACTTAAACATCTGTTATTAAATCTGAATCTAGTTCTATTTTTGTCATGATTGATTTCTGTATCTTAAAATATTAGGATGAAGTGTTTTTTATTTTCAGCACCGCTAATTATACAGCACATGACAGAGCTAGTTCATTTCTTTATACAACAATAATACTTACAACATTGTCAGCCCAGTCTGATAATACTGTTGCTATGTAGTTAACAGCATTAAGAATTGCACAGTATCGGAAGCCTAAGGAAGCTCTAGTCTCTTCCTTCATAACCTGAGTCAATCGTATTCTGAAATCATCAACTAAGTCTTTTTGTAACTCCAAGAACTGCAGTTTTCTAGAAGCTGTAGGAAGGTTCTTATATCTGTCTGGAGAGAGGATTGTAAGAAGTTTTGATTTTCCAAAACAAATTAAACTTTTAAAAGATAAAGATTTGCAGTTGAATTATTACTATAGCCCCCATTCCTGCAGATTTATACACATACTGACACACTACGTACTTCCACTGAAATCAAGGGAACCATTTACCACATGTCAAGTTAAGCACGTGTAAGGTTTTGCAGGATTAGGGCCTACATGTATGAATCTCACTAAAACAAAAAGATCAAATTTCGAACAGCCTAGGAACACTGTGTGGACCCCCAACATCTCCACAAAAGATAAGGTAGACAAGTTTAGTATGCAAATAAAAGTCACCATATTGTTAATCTGCTTTATGCCGCGTTATGGAACAGGTAAAATTACATTATAGCAGCTAAGTGTGCAGGAATTCAGAGCTGATTTCCTGAAAACAAACAGGATTTTTTATAATTAATTCTAATAAATACATAGGATTTTTATTTCTTCTCTTCTTTCAAATTTTAAGGAATGCTTCTAGTTACAAATAAAAAATATTTCTTGATAAACATTAGCACTTCAAAAGTGTACCAATTTTTGCCAAATATGAAGGCCTGATCACTCTCACTTGCATTATTCATAAAGTTCAAAACAAAATCAATTATCAGGCATTTATTTCTTTGTTAAAATGCAAACACCACAACATTTCTAACTTGCTATTCCTTTGATGAATCCCAAACCACTGACACTTAATGTGGATTTCCTTGTTAAATATACAAGTTAGAGCTCTTGAATTATTCAGAATTCATGTCAAGTAGCAAGCTAAATATCTCAAATTATTTAATTACCTGTGATAACAAATAACAGTGTCATAAAAGTTTCCGCACAGCCTGGGACTTTCATTTCATCTACATCACTGATATCTTTATACTGTGATATCCAGGCAGCCTCAGAGGAAAGCATGGAGTCCATTTTTTGAAGAGCAACTGACAGGCACAGGAAACATTAAATAATTTAAAGTTTAGATGCGTTACTTGCAGTTGCTTTAGAGTTTACAAATTTATCATTTCTTCCAACAATTCAGTCAATTGCAGCTTTTCATAAAAACTTAACAGGAATCCTAAATGTTATGATTTACTAAAAGTATCACTCAGATTTAAATACAATAACATTTGCAACTTCTGACATCAATTGCTTCAATAAGAAGTAAGGTGATATAAGCTTGCCTAACCATCATTACATGTTAATCTTTTTTGAAGTACCAATAATGTTCCAATTTTTCCTTTACTAGAGAAAGCATACAAAAACTCATGCCCACTTCTGCTGTTATTATTCTTTAACATTTTTATAGCATTTAAAAAGCCACTATTATTCCTACTATTAACCTGCCTTGAAAATTTACCCTGTCCCTACTATCCTGATGATTAGCCTTGCTAGTCTGGGTGTAAAGTACTTTGTTGTCATGCACTCAAAAACTAAAACTTGTCATATATAGGAACAGACATTGGGTATTGTACATTTTCCAAACCACTACTTCTACCCTTCACGTTGTAGCTTACTACCCAAATATATTATTTAATGTCATCCCTTTCTGTCAGATTTGCCAAATGGCATTAAAAATTATATAAAGTTACTCCAAAAACCTATTTGCCCAGCAAAACTCTGATTAATATTCTTGAAAGCCAAATACATTCACTGCACTCTATTCAGCCAGGTTATTTGCTTTTTTAATTCTTTCACTTCCTGCCTTCATACTGCTTTTTTCCTACAACAGCTTGTAGCGTGCGTTGTTCTGTACACGTGTTCTTTACTTGCACCCTATATTTTCACTATTTCATTATTCCTTTCCTCTCCACAAAACTAATCCCCCTCTTTTTTCCCTTTACCATATTTGGGTTTTTTCTGTCTTATCCTATAAAGGCCCACTGACACGCACTTAAAATGGGAACTTTACCAGAGGAATAAAATTACTAAATCCTACAGAACTACAGGTTGTGGTAGAATCACTAAATATTGCTTTAATATTAATCAACAGTCCTACAGTATAAAAATTAGGGCCCTGATGTAATATTCCCCATGCATGCAAGTTAACCAACCTCACTGGGACTGAGTAAGCATTGCACAATTAGGCCTTCTGCATTGTTTAAAACAATCATAAAAGCCTTACATTTCCTTTCCACAGTTAACCACCTCTGAAAGCAGGTTTCTTCCGACAGAATATGCATACAGCTGGGAAAGGTGCCGAGGTATCCATGAACAATGTACAGCTCTCTCTCAAACAGAAGCACTTCATCCACAAGATGACAGAACAGGTTATCATCATACAACAGGCAAGTAATATCAGCAGCCAACTTCTCCAAAATTAGCATTACTAGAGCACGGGAGAATTCAAGCTTTTATAAGAAAAAAATTAGAAAAAGGTTAAAGTACTGAAATGTCAGTATTTATGTAATTTTAAAACTTCTTTTGGGAGGTCAGTTCAACCTAATCATAAACCCACTGAAATCAATTCAACTTGCTAACTCCATAGCTAAAATATGGCCATGTAAAACTGAACATATTTTCTTACCCTTGCATTCACTGAATAGCCTGCCTTGTCCAATATTGGCTGGATTTTTTCATCAAGAAACTTAGTGTGATTTCCAATCCACATGAGGACCTGGGTTAGGTACCATTCGGGCTTCAACGTAAAAAGAAGTGTCAGAACATTAACATTAACCCTATCCAGGTAACATTTGTTCAACTGATACATGAATGCGAATACAGATTTCACTTGTATTATCTATTGCAAACTACAAGCAAAAAGAAACATAAAAATATGGTTCAAATAACTAGTTAGAAAATGTACCTTTAGTATCGTTTATAAAAAAAAAAAAAACACAACTCACAAAAATTTCAAAATTAACTAACTAACAGAAGCCATAATAGACTTGTAAAACTACCCAATGTTTTCAACTCTTTAAAATACTGGATATAAAAGCAACCAGAATATGCAAAATAGTAATGAAGGTCCAAGGAAGACAGTTAAAGATTGTCAATTTATATATAAATATAGGAATTGTGAATTGTTTTCCAACCACAATACTGTACTTAAAAAGGTTCGGGAGAGAAGGTTATATTGTTTAGTGTGGGGACAGAGGGGAGATGGTGGTGGTGAATGAGATACGGAAGTGTATGTTTATGCCAAAACTATTGACCTGTCTGCTCTGTGGACTAAACAAATCTTCTTTTGTTTTTAAAGCACAGATCATCCTTTCCCACTGCAAATATTGCATGCATTTACATGGAATTATTTATGTACCTGTAGCTGTTTTAATGAAAAATTTTGTCCTTTGCTTTAAAACGACATGGGGAACACACTACCTATTTTTGCCCTTCATTTTATCTCCCCTTTCCATTTTTCCCTCTGCAGCATCTGCTTCCATGCCACTGGATTCCTCTCTAGCTTGTACAGGCTTCCTGACTGCACCGTATATACTCTTTTCCAGGAGACAGAAGAAAATACCATGCTGAAAAGATGGCTGACAGAAATACCAGTTGTCTCATCTTTTACATAGCATTCAATGATACTGGAAACAGATGGCCTGGAAACACTCCCAGATACTTCATTTTGTTTCTTTACAATTAAAATCTTGCAGAAATAATTTGAGAACAAAAGGTGGGAAAGCAATCACTATGGGTGCCTATACATGAGCAGGGAGGCTGCTCCAACGCGCTGTAACTCCAGTACATGGGAGCTGACTCAATTAATTAAGTCTTCTGGAGTGTGGCAATTACTGTGCTCCAGCAGCCTCCCACAACTTGTGTATCAGCATTCCTGGGCTTCAAAATGGTGGCGAGGCACTTTATCTGAAGCTTGTTCAACAAGCTTCAAATAAAGCACCCCCACCACCATTTTGAAGTGCAGGGAAGCTGATACACGAGATGCTCTGGGGGCTTTAATTAAACTGGCTCTAATTAAAGCACCTCCCTCCAGCCCCGAAGCATATGTATAAACACTGTATATGACCAGCCAGGACTCCCCACAAACCCCAGTAACAGGGTCTTCATATTCACAGAACAGTAGCGCTGGAATAAGTCCTACAAATGTTATCTAGTCCATGCACCAGCAGGATGAAAGACACCTAGGCCACCTTTGTTCTTAAAAATCTCTCATGAGGATTCAATAACCTCCCCAGGCAGCCTGTCCTCGTGTTCTTTAGCTTTACAGTTCGAAGGTTTTCCTAATATCTAACCTAAAACTCAACAGCAAATTAAGCCTATTCCTTTTTGCCCCTCCTCTCAGTGGACCTGGTGAACAACTGATCGCCACCCTTTTTATAACATTCTTTTCATAGTTTCATGGTTTCTAGGGTCAGAAGGACCTGAGCGGATCAAATCCAACCTCCTGCCATGGCAGGAAAGAGTACTGGGGTCAAACGAC